AAGATGGGAACGACTGATCGTACGACTACAATAAGTCAACTTCGGGAAACTCATGCATTTCTGCAATAAGTGCAAGGCCACGTGTTTGTGGGGCAACTGTTCTATAGCCGTCGATCGCAGCGATTTTGAGGCGGTTCCATTCTGCGTAAAAGTCTTCCCGACCACTGATGGGAACCTGAAGCATCTGAATGTCGATTCCCTTCACGATTCGAATTCCGAGAGCCTGAAAGGGTCGAAGGTCAGCATGGAAAGCTTCCCCTGAGAGGAGATAAAGAGTAGTTTCGCCCATGTCAAAGTGAAGTCCATATTTCTCGGCGAGCGCAATTTCCTGCTCGAAAATCGCCCACACTGAAGCGACAGGCCCCCCACAAAAACCATCGTCCGCGAACTCGGGGTCGAAACAAGCATGGCTTCCCCTAGCATTACCACAGGCTTCTTCATACATTCGTTTCCTGGCCAAGCAGAAAAGAGACCCCATAAGGGGGCAGCCTTGCTGTCCGCGAGCGGATTGCATCAATCGACCATGGTACACGAGGTGATTAGGGGCCCCATAGCAGAATTCGGCGAACTTACTAGAGGCCGTGGCGTACTGATAACATTCGTCCAAGAACATGTGAGTGTGGACGGAATTGTAAGCATTAGAGATGTCTCTTTGCAGAAGAACATAGTCGGTTTTGTGGTTGTTAGCACGAATCCATGCGCGAGCGGCGTGGATCATTGCCTCGGCCCCCGAACGGATTCCTACTGCAACTTGTTGGGGAGCAAGACGACTCTGGATACTGTCTTTGTCGAGAAGGAAAGTTGTCTTGAATACCAATTTACGCCAAACTGTCCCCATGACGATAGGACGAGCCGAGCGTCCTGGTCGAGCGGGACGGCTCGCCCATGAGCGTCTCTTTTGCCTATGCCCACCAGGGTTCCCCCCCCCAATCCAAGCACGGAGCGCGATTGGCGCGTGTCCTTCCGCAAGGAGTTGAACGAAATCCCGGACTAACTCCACGAAAGAACCTACATCCCCTGTCTCGCCACACAGAAGCCGTAAGAAATCCGCGCGCAGTCCATCTGGACCTGGGCCTTTACCAACCTGGAAGGACTGAAGAGCCTTGAGGAGGAGCGGAGCAGGTATTTCGGGCGTATTTCCGGGAACGAGAGCGGGGCTCCTAGGAGGTATGCTTGGGGCGGGGAATTTAGCCGCCAGCTTGGCTTGCACAGCAGGAGTGTCATGCGCGAGCCCCGGCGAAAGCAAGCGTTGAAGGGCCTGACCGGCTCGACCAGTCATCACGAGACGTTCGACGTTACGATGCAGTTCGCCTATGGCTGGAGAAGCAGCTTCCTTAGGGGCTCGGGGGCACTTCTGGGCTTGAAGGGCATCTTTCCAAAGTGTAGCACGCTCACCCAATTTCCATCTAAGGAGTAAGGCCCGTGAAAAATTGAGGGATTGCCGCGGTTTCTGACCCTTACCAAATTGTCTACAGATAGTTTTCGGAAACATGAGGAGTTCCGTCCATGCCCTGCGGCAAGCCTGTTTGGCCTCGGAGTCAGCAGAATTCGTTTCCCAAGCGTCCCACCCCTGAAGCTCTTCTTGTTGATCTTGGAAATTCTTCTCAGACTGAAGGGGGTGCCTCTACAAGCATATAGACCCGAATTTGGGTCGGACAAAGACCTCAAATGTGGAGTGACACCTCGTCTCTCCGGATTGACAAAGGGCCTGAACTCGAAATTCCTTACGCGCTAAACCAATAGACTAGCATCTACCAGTCGCTGGGGTCGGGGGAGAGAGGGTGCTGCCAGGTAGGGGCCGAAGCGCTTTCGCGATACCTGCAAAATGCTGCAGAGCACTGGCAGAGCCGGGCACCGGGCACCAGTGGGATACTGCTGCAAGCCTTCGGGGTCGGAGGTTCCGACCTACTTCAGCTCATCTTCCCAGTCGAACTTCCAAAAGTTGCGCAGTTGGGGTGGGTACCATTCTCGACCCATCACTCACAGTCGTCCGTGGGTGGAGCTTGCATCATCTGCGCGAAATGTACCCTTTGGCGTTCTAAGGCTTGAACCCTGGAGAGTTGCTCGGGCCTTCTGAGTGGCAGAAGCCAGCAGGATGGCGCGAGGCAGGGAGTGCTCAGCAGCTCCCTGAAACATTCATGTGCTCAGCGCGCGGGGCTTTGTGTGAAAGACTGTTTCAGTTTAGACTCCGGTCTCGTTTCAGAACCACACGCAAGATGCCTGTATGCGTATGACCCCCCGAAGTGCGACTTGGCCAGCCAGGCAGGCAAAACCAACCTAAACCCCAAAGCCTAAACCCTCGTTCTTTGGCATGCTGTCTGCTCATTCTGCCCCCTTTACACAGAGCCCCCCTACCTTCAAATGGATTCGTTTGTGGATCTCGGCTCCGCCCCCAGATGCATTCCTATGAGCGCAGGTTTGAGGCCGGCCGCTGGGAGCAACGAAGAAAAAGTTGAGTAGTCAGCTCTAACAGCACAACACAAAACGGCTCGGTCACGTTTTTTGGGACCCAAGCCCAAAACAATCGCTTTAAACCCTAAACCCAAAAGGATGGAAAAAAACAAACTATGGAAAACAAAGCCTCTGGAGGCCGCCCCAGAGGTGGATCAAGAAGGGACGAAGTGACTTGGACTACCCAAGCGCTACGAGGGTTTGTTCAGGGTTCAGGGTCTATTGGGCTCAGGGTTTGGGGTTTGGGGTTTATTTAGGTTTTGGGGCCTGTTTTTGCCACCTTTCTGACTCTTCCATTGGCCTGCTGGGATTGACGAGGGGAGGCGGGCAAACTTTGCAAAGAAGGATCCACCATGCTCCTCAGCATGCCTTCAAGAACTATTCGTGTTCTTACTGATAGTCATATGGGGGTTTCCGAAAATTGGGGGGGTCCCTTATTTGTGGGTCCTTATTCTAAGGGAATCCCACTATTTAAGGGTCTATATTCGGAGTCGCTGCTCTTCGTAAACCCGCATATTTGCTATTGATGTTACAGAGAAACGATCATATATTACTATGAGTATCCAACTGGACCATGTGTTCACACACCGCGTGTGGAAGAGCATCTTCAGAAGATGTTGGGCATTGCGGCCCAAACGCTAAAATCTCCGACACGGCCTGTCTCAGCTCATCGAACAGCGCGCGGCGACCCGCGCTCGACTCCCCACACACCCCCCCGAGGCAGCGACCATGACACTCTAGCGGCATGGAATCTCAAGGAGCCTTCGTGTTTTTAGGAACCAGCATAAGACAGACTTTCCCCTACTTGGTGGTGCACAGATGATGGCGGGTGCTGACGGTTCAGAATACGCAGATGAGACTGTAGATGCTCACAGTAACATGCACCTCAACACGAAGAAGTTACTAGTTGGGTCCATGTTTCGGTCCGACTCCTCCTCAAGACTGATATGATCATCAGGCTTGCGAATTCGCGCAAGCACTTCCCCGGGCACTTTTTGCGACACAGGTTTTGTGACATGGCCGCTTCGACAAACGCGTCCTTGCAACCGTTTGTGCTATTGGGAGCCCGCGACGTACGTATGACACCACGGGGTGCAACAAACGTACATGACGGAGGCGGAGGGGCGGGACACCGTGACATACCCTTTCTGACCCACAGCCATATGATTCATACCAACATTAGTATTACCATAAACAGAAACATAAGAATCCATATATTTAGTTAATTGTAAAATTCTTAACCTGCGTTCGGGGATGTGCCGAGGTTCATGGGCCTGGCAGCTGCTGTGCAAAGCAGTCGCCGCATGCAGGCCCGCCCAAGTAGTTGTTCTTGTGGTTTAGGACATGGGTTGGGACGGTTGGGATGTTCCCCCTTAAGCTATTGGGATTACCGTGCCCCCGATTATAATCCCTACTACGGACTGCAAGTATTACAAGGGGGAACATCCGAAGGCATGGGGTTGCTTAGGCCCTGGCAAGCTTCCCCTCTTTCGTCGGCACTGCAGTCTGAGTTGTCCTAACCCCAAACCACTACAACAACGTTTTGAATTGGCCTTAACCATGCCTAAACCCTAAACCCTGAACCCTAGGGTCTACTGGTCATTTTTCTGGGCACGCTGTGTTCATGAGCGCGCGCAGTCATTAAACTGCCCAGGCAACTCCGTCACCCAAGGGAAAGAAGGTCCTCCTCGAAGCATGGGGCCTTGGTTAATTGCAAGCACTGTCCACTCAGAAGCACCAACCATCTGGCAAGTCGGTACCACCGACAACTAGACGCTCCTAGTTTTGAGGCCGCTACCAACAAATCTTCGTGAACCTGGGGGGCTTGTTGGGGGAGCTGGGGGTGGGGGGGGGGGGAAATGTTGCAATTGACCCCCCCCCCCCCCCCCCCCACCCCCGCACTCCCAAGCCCTGCAGACCCTAAACACATCCCGGACTGCTCAAGGGCAGCTTTGCAACAAGCAGGATGGTGAGTTGCACCCCCCCCGAACGACACAAAATAGAGCCAATCGCGCCCGACGCCTGGACAGAACAATTCTAATTTAAGAGTTAAAGAGCCCTCGGCATCAAAAAGGGCACCACATTCGACTGTTGGCAATGCCCCCGTACCATATTCACACTTGCGCCTCTGGCGGGCAACGCTGCTATGATGCTATAGTTCAAAGAAACATGATGTAATTTTGATACTGCATTTATTTGCTTAGCACATGATACTAAAATGTACAAAGCGTATGAATATTCAACTGTATACATACATACATATATATATACACTCATATATATATATATATGTATTTATTTATTTATTTATGTGTATCTGTTTTTGAATATATTGCTTCGTCTCTCTGCTGCCCCAAGGTGCTGCGAGCGACCGGCCTGCAAGCTTCGCTTTTCAGTGGAAGTCTCGATCCGTTCGTCAAGGCGACCGGAATGCGGAGTAGCAGCTGTAGGGTTTAGGGTTTAAGGGTTTAGGGTTAGAGTTTATAAGGGTTTAGGGTTTAGGATGTAGCCTAGGAGTTAGGCGTAGGCAGAAACATCTGCAGCCAGAGATGAGTCAGCCCCTGTTGATGATGCAGCGGTCAACAAACCCTGGCAAGAGCCCAGCCGTTACGGGATCTGAGGGGCAAAAGTATCCACTGGCTGATGCTGGACGCACACATGTCGGATTCGTCAGCGGATTTACCCAAAAGTGGGCTCACGACAGCTTCGTGGTGGCAGTTGCTGCACACCGAGAAGACTCCATAGACTTCGCATGGATTCGGAAGGTGCGCGTGGGCCAGGAGGTGCAACAGACCGAGCATGTCGTGTGGGACTTGGGCCTCTGGGCTTTTTGCCCAAGTGCTTCCGAACATGCTGGGCAGCAGCACATCTGCTGTGTTAGGCCAGACAAGATGCAGAGTCCAGGCAGTACTCGGGGAAAGAACTTGAAGCTGGCATGGCACTGAAGGTCAGCGTCACGGATCCCGTGTGGAACGAGAAGTTTGAGTTCTTCATCCAGGGGACGGAGGTGGGAAGAGCCAGGAGAGTTTTCAGTCAAGGATGGAAATCACACCCCTGCTCAGATCCCCCAAAACGCGCCGCATGTCTTAGGTGATCATCTTCTCCATCTGGGACTACGACCTGACAGGTGGTGAGGTGGGTTTCATAAACACGGCACGTGATGACACAGTCAGATGTACCCCTAAGAGGTTCCCTGAAAATACTCCTTCTGAACCTTATATCCCTAAACCTTAACTCCTAAACCCCCCTCCCCCCCTTGCTTGCTCGAGAGGATCATGACTTCCTCTCGCGCGCCGAGCTTCCCCTGAAGCACCACGTCCGTCTGGCATGTCTGCTCATGGTTAGGGTTTAGATTTTAGGGTTCTTTTTTGGCTTGGGGTTTGGGGTTGAGGGTTTAGGGTTTAGGGTTTAAGAAGTTGCATGTTTGCCGGTAGCCTCCAAAGTCCATTGCTCAAAGGGTTTAGGGTTTAGGGTTTCGGTCACTTCTCTAACACATGGTCCTGTCTGGGGTCCCTATTCTACGGCGGCCCCCGATAATTTTGGGGTACCCGAAACAGAGGGGCCATAATTATACTAGAGTTACTAGAAAACTGACTGAAGTAGGTGTTTGCCGTCCTCCAACCCGCCAGGTCAAAGAACTTTACAGGGGCCAGAAGGTGACACTGGAGCTGCAGCTTGAAAACAAGGCTCCGCAGCCGCTGGTTTAGGGTTTGGGGCCTTTTGGGTTCAGGGTTTAGGGTTTAGGGGTTTGGGTTTAGGGTTTAGGGCCGCCTAACGTTTTGCCTTCCAAGTTGTAACTTGGGAAGATATGCAGAAATCCTGGGAGGATCCACAAAGTAGAGTCCCCCCACATAGTACCCTATACTACTGTTGGGTGATTTGGTCGGAACCCTCAAGGGGATCGGGATCTGGGTATTGATCCCTAAACCCGAAACCCTAAACCCTAAACCCCTCTGCAAGTTTCTTGTTGCAAGACCCACGATGACGACTCCATCCTTGCAGTTTCCATGCAGCTTGCAGACTTTGTGCCGGCGCCCCAAGAGTCAGCAAGGCTTTGGGCGGTTTAGGGTTTAGGGATTCAGGGTTTAGGGGTTTAGGGTTTGGGGTTGAGGGTTGATGGTTTGAGGGTTTAGGGGCACAGAGACATACCTTAAACCCTAAGCCGCTTTCTGCAGACTGTCAGGACCTGCATTGCTGCACAGGTTTCACACGATGACAAGCAGAAATGCACCCAGGGGTGGGAGGGGGTGAGGGCCAAAGATCTTCATTCGTCACTCTCTGCTGTGTGGTCGAAACTCTTCGGCCAATAACATTCATGGCAGCACTTGTCTGAAAAGCACCAGTATCAGGAATAGTCAGAAAAAGAAAAGCAACAAAGACGCTCTTGAGCACGCTGGGCCAGGCAGAGGCCACAGACGCGAAGAACCAGCGAAACCAGGATTGGCTTGTCTGCATGGCCTTACGAGTTGTGTTAAGTTTGAGGGGTTGTTGATCCCCTAATCTAGGCCCCAAACCAAGTTTCACTTCAGTTTGTCTTTGAACATGCTAGAAGTGCCCAGTATCGAAGAAACGGCAGCATGCATCCTGGGTGACTGAACCAGCCCTGAAAACAATGGCATTTCTCAGATCACAGTGTGGTATCCAACGGTTAGTTAAGTGGTGGTGTCATCGCCCCTAGTGTGGCTGACAGCTGGGTGAAACACTGGTCAGGCCGGCTGCTACAGCGCCTGCTGCTGCAGCGCCCGCCAGCAGCGGCAATTTTTTCTGATCCAAGGCGGGAATGATCCAACTTCCAGTTTCAGTTGTTCCCCACCTTGAAATATATAGGAATGCATGAAGCCGCCTAAGCTTTGATCAATACGGATTGCCCGAAAGAAGCTTTGGAGTCATTCATTATGTCTTCTCTATCGGGACGACCACAGAAGAGACATAGTGGTCTGGCAAATAGATGTTTGCTTGCGTGTCCGCCGCGGTTCAGCGCGAAATAATACCGAGCAGCACAAGTTATAATGAGCAGGCCACTGGAGAAAATGCCGAGCGAAATTCGTGCACAAGGCCGGGCCATGGTAGCTCAGGGTTCAGGGTTCAGGATGTAGTAGTAGTGCGCAGCCTGTTGCAAAAAGCATGTAGTATTGGTAGTGGTGGTGGTGGTAGTGGTAGTGGCAGTGGTAGTAGTAGTAGTAGTAGTAGTAGTAGTAGTAGTAGTAGTAGTAGTAGTAGTTGTAGTTGTAGTTGTAGTAGTCGTAGTCGTAGTAGTCGTAGTAGTAGTGGCAGCAGCAGTAGCAGCAGCAGCAGGAAAGTTTACAGCTGGGCATCGCGTACGCAGCCTGGGCAGTGGTACGATTGTCACAGTTGGTAGTAGGTGTGATGGTCTTTTGCTGCCTGTTTGTTGTTGGGAGCTTCAGGGTCATGCTTGAAAGTTGGAAGTGTTATGGACTGTGTTAGGAAACACCAAAAATGCTATGTTCTGCAGTATTCTGTAGTATACCATTTTACAATGTATACTGAGGGCCTCAGGTGTGCCTGGCTGATGCTTTCGAAGTATTTTACGTTGCAAAGGAGACAAACTCCAGCATTGCACTACACTATGGAGTGTACCACAATATAATGCAGTATACTAGAGAGTACCGTATACTGCAGTCTACTGCAGATACTGCATTTGCCATGTTTTGTGTAGACCGAAGAAGGCCGAAATTGGCAGGAGGCTGGTGCCACTACGACATTGCTCATGTGTGGTTTTGCTTGATCATCACAATCAGTGCTTCCATCATCTCTATGGCGGCAGGCCGGGCTCATGATCGACAAGCTAGAGGCAAACTTCAAGGCGCGCTGTTGAGAGCAGCTAGGCGTGTGCCAAAAAAGAGATCGAAGGCACGGTCTCAAGACCCGTGACTTGGCAAATGTGTCGATGAGGCGAAGCGACTTGCGGGCGCTTGACTGCCAGGCACCATGACTGCTGGGATGCGTCGTGCTAACCCCAGGTGTTTCCTGTTCCTGCTTGGGGCCTGAGGCATCTCATTGACACAGGGATACAATGCGAATCATTGCTAGCACGACTTGCTTCAGGCCTCCTCAGATCTGTTCGGCCACGCGAGACTGAGATCTGCATGAGACAGTTCACCGATGGAGGCTAACAAAAAGTCGTTAGATTGCTTGCTGAAACCGCTGGTTTTCGCACCAATCGTCCTGTCAGTCAGCAGGAATGCAAAGGCAGGTTTCGCAGCGCTTTGCTGAAGCCTTTGGCTGAGTTGTTGCAGTTTTAGAGGCCTCCTAGATTGCCATAGAATGGTTGGCTCTCCAGTCTTCATGCGGATGACAGTCTTTGTACTGATCAAGTTGGCCATGTGCCTCACGTTGGGCACAGCTGCTGTGGCGGCAGGCACCGGCAACAACTCGCAGGGCAAGTGTGACTTGACAAAGATGGTCCGTTACAATGGTAACAGGACCCAGCTCGGGCTCTGTGATGCAGATTTTGGTGTCTATCTTGAGTGCATCGCAAGCCAGGTGAATTGCACCGATGCGCATGTAAGCATCCTTGGCGACGTGTGCACACATTTGAAAGTAGAGGACTGTGAGGAAGATGTCTCGGCTATTGCCTGTGGCTTGTGCGGTTCTGTCGTGCCCTCTACACTCTTTGTCCATATGATATGTCCACAATCCTGTGGTACTTGTGGAACATCAATGATGAGAAGCAGCTTGCAAAGCCTTGCGAGCAAGTGCGCCCTGACTGAGAACGTGTGTCTGCTGCAACGCAAAAATCAGAGAGCTGCATTCATGGCTCCCACAAACGAGTCGCTCGAAGATCGCAGCTTCTACCGACATCACCGTGCTTGGGGACCGCGTTGGTGGAGAAGGTACCACCAGAAACCCTACTACACCGCCACCACCGCCCACATCACACAAACAACCACGATCACCACCACAACCTCCAGCACAATGGCAGCTGCTCCTTGCAATCTGGCGACTCTACCATCAGTAGAGGGAAGTGAGGTGGCCGATTGTTTGAATCTGAGTCTTGGCGACAACTGCACGGCCAGTTGTGAGGAGGGCTTCACAGGTGAGCCCGGGTCCTTCACTTGTGACCAAGATGGCAATTTTGTTGGATCGCCCCCTACATGCGAGCTTTCTTTCTGCTCGACACCCGAAGCTCTGGATGCCCTCAGCTTACTTCATGACTGTGATGGTACGCCTTCTGGCTCCTCCTGTTCGGTTGCCTGTGCTGATGGCTACAACGGAACTCCAGCCGTGTGGAACTGCACTACCGGTGCTTTGGGTGGAGTTGTTCTGAGTGGTACTGTTCCGGAATGCACAGCGAACATTTGCACCGACAACTTGCCAATGGGGTTTGGCATCGACTCCACGGCGTGTGAAAATGCTACAGTTGGCGAGTCTTGCTTTGCCACGTGCGGTGAAGGCCTCTTGGCTTCTGGATCCTCAGAGGCGACCTGCACAAGCAGCGGCTCTTTCACAAACATATCTCTGCAATGCAGCCTGCCTAGCTGTGGCAACCTGAGTGCTTTATCAGCCTTTGCCCAGCCATACCTTGAGCACGACTGCACAAACCAGACTGAGGGTGCCATGTGTGCCGCAGAATGCATCCCAGGCTACGCTGGGGAAGGAGTTGTCCTGGTTTGCAATGTTGGCCCGACGACAGCGGATTCAGAAGGCTATGCGGTCGTGGACAGCTCTGGAAATCTGACGCCGGCGAACCTTCCTAACATGGCGCCGGCGTGCGTGGCAGAGGTGGTTTACTGCACATTCTTGCCGGACGTGCTGGGTCGCCTTCTCAGTGATTGGCAGTGAGTTTCATGACTTGCCCGCGATCTACCCAAGAGTTCTGTAAGAGATGGTAAGATTTGGGGTTCGCAGCTGAGGTGCCGTCGACAATTGCAGTGGGATAGTTGCTGGTGAGACCTGCATCGTTTCTGCTGCTGATGGCTATACTGGAGAGAACGCAACGCTGACATGTGGCACCCACGGTGAGCTCTTGGGCAACATCACGCCGTTCCAAGCCGTCGTTTGCCCTGATCTCGTGGCTCCTGGATTTGTCACCGACTGCATCAACGTAAGCTTGGGGGAAAATTGCTCTTCGATGTGCAGTCTGCCGGACAACTTCACAGGCGAGAACTCCACAG